GAATCTGACTGACTGACTGACTGGCACCGGTCGCCTGACCGACGTAAAATGTTTTGATTTATGGCTAACAGCCATACTTATCAGATGAAAGACTAACTGATATACGGAATGACAAACTGGCTAACACTCTGAATGACGAAAGAACTTACTGATCGGGTAGGTGGTCGACTAACTGACAAATGGCTAACTGTCTAGCTGCGCGCAGATTAACCGATGGACTTACCAATCAACTGACTAATTCAGTGACTGGCTGATAAGTCAAAGCTGCTGCGGGAACGAGGCAATCGAATACTCAGCGAGTAACCAACCGGCTTTTTAAAAGTAAAGAAGGTGAGTTTTAAACAATAGCATCTGACCATAACTTCCTTTTCAGGAACTCAAAAAACCCAAACTGGGACCTCTTATGACGTTTCAACGACTCTGTCGGGTACTGTTACATCCTTCATCGCGTATACTTCTTCAACAACGTCCACGGCTACTTCAACAAGTTCGGAAAATACACAGATTTCTTCAGTCCCACCTACTTCCTTTGCGTCATCAACTAATGCTGATGATTCTACCACAGCCACTTCGAGCTTTAGTGCCGAGGAAACCTCGACGGAAACTATTTCAACACATTCTACTGCCATTTTGACAACTTCACAAATTGCCTTGACTTCTTCGATTTCAACTATTTACTCTACACCTTCTACTATTTCTCATGGTACTGAAGCATCATCGACGGACACTTCTACAAACTCGGCTTCTCCTTCACTTGTAACAGTTTCTTCCATATCGTCTTCTCTTACTCCTTCAGTATTGTCAACTTTCTCGACACCATCGATTTCATCGTCGCCCGCAACGTCCTCGATTACTTCAGCGACAACCATCAAGGTATCCTCAGTGGCGAATCCTTCCTTTACAAGCCCATCAGGTACAGCGAATTTATTCCTCTTTTCTCTTGATGTCAATACTGAATTTAAATATTTTAACCGACTGGATTTAAAGGCCCATTTGGATGTCTGAAATAACATGTGACTAATTCCAATTTAAACTCAATATCATTTGGCTTAGCGTTTGACGACAAGTATTTCATTTCATTTCATTTAAAAAAAGATGGTAAATTTAGAGCTTGATAATAAAATTAGAAAGGATGGCACTTATTTATCACAATCAGGAGAAACAATAATACCTAGGTACTTGGACTATATTTTGACCATCATCGTGCATTGAAAGGAAAACTACACTTCGTTTTTAGAATGGTCCAAAAAAAGTCATTAGAGCTTAATCTAGAAAGTGTAACAAATATCTATTTACTTTTCAGCTTCTTCTTTAATATCCACAACCTCTCCAGACTCAACTTCAGTAATTTCGCCGAGTGCCACTGTGACTGTGTTAGCATCATCGAGTGTTCAGATTGTTTATGCGCCCGCACCGCAAGTTACCAGCGTTAAGTTCAGTGAGACAGCCGCAAAAATTCTGATTCAGTTTAATGTGGAGGTGCAGTTTGTCAGTGCAGAGGAAACGTGCGACGAATTCTTTATTCCTGCGGCATTGACAACGTTGGGCAGTTATCCTCAGTGCCGCCTAAGCCATACGCAGGAGTTACAAATAATCCCTGGAGTTGGTGCAAACATATCAGTTGGAGACTTACTAGAGTTTAAGGCTGGCGTGTTCAAGGCCCGTAATGAAGAGTACGGCAAGTTTCTCAATGGTTCGTTTGCTGTTAATTTACCAGATGTTCCTTTGAAACCAGTGCCAGTGATCAAAGGTGAGCCAATGGAAGCTCAGGGACACTAGCATCTAGTAAAGGGCGTTTCCATGTCTCCACATAGTGAAAACTAACGTTAATATGTATACCATTATTTTGTGTCCCTTAAAATTCAGCTTAAAAATGCAGTGTTCTGCCTTCAAAAGTGACAAAAATGTAAGTTTAGGTCAATTAAGTACATTGAGCGGAGGTGATTTTCTAGTTCTCTCGGTAAAGGCCAAATAAGCTGTTGCCCCTTTATTCCCAGGTGTGATTAGCATGTAAACTTGTCATCAAATCAAAATTAGTTGACAAGAAGAAAGGAAAGTGATGAAAAAGGGATCTTTAGGGATACTACCTTAATGTAATTTAATTTTTTTTGGAATTGCCAATAAGGAAAGGTTTAGTCGGTATATGGAGGAGGCAAAAGGGGAGGATTGGTGCCTAATAAGTCAGCTTGCTATGTCACAGTCAACTTAAATAGGAAGTATACGTAAAGAGGTTGAGAATCTACTGAGAGAACCATTCGAAAACTAAAAGTTCTTTTCTTTTTTTATTTGTCTACTCTTTCACTTCTTAGGTCCCAACGTTCTTTCTTCTTGTGGAAATCTCTCCCTCTCTGGAACTCAGTCCTTTGGTAGCGGCGGCCGACCACTCATTATCAAATGGTCTCTGATATCGCCTAACTCAGGAAGTGACTTCATAGCTATAACAAATATCCTCAGTAACCTAAGTTCACAAGATGACCGCGTTAAAATCCCAGGATCTCTCTTTGAGGCTAACAAAACATACTTATTCAAGCTCGAGGTGGCCAACTTCCTAAATACGTCACGCTTTGAAGAAACTTCTCATTCAGTTATTAAAGTGTCTGATCCAGTCCCAGAGCTGACTCTAAGTTCCAGCATCGACCTTAGTGAAGGGGAAGTCTTTGTTTCTGAAGATTTCCATATCAGGACAACCGTGACTGTAAGTTTGCGGCTCCCTCTGCGGTTTCTCCTAGGCTGAGTTTTTTTTAGCCACAGAGACTACTGCTGTATAATTTTGTAAAATAGTAATATCTTTGTAATTCCTTCCTGCACAGTATGCTGGTGGTATTTCGGAAAATTAATAAAATTCTCCATAATCTCCCGTTCCGCAAGAAATATAACCAAAAGCTTCTTCTATTTCTGGTAGACATTTGCTTTACACAAGCATCTCTTAGCCAAGAGGTGGACCACGCCCAAGGACATTAGAGCACCCGAGGTTTATTCTGTCTCTACTGAAATAAGCTAGCAAAATGAGAGTTGAAAGCAATGAAAAATAATCTGAGGGAAAGTCTTCTGTTAGATAAAATGCCTACTGTACAACACTTGAATATGGAGAATATTTCATCCATTCTAATTCTCACTTCCTCACTCACCATGCAGGTTGCTCCTTGCGCGAACGATACCAGAGTAGACTTTTCTTGGGCTGTTACATGCAGTGATGCTAGCGCTAAAAAGAGGGTCGAGTTCAGTGCTGCGTTCAATGCCACCAGATACCAAAGCACTCTTAAGATAACTAAGGGCCTGTTAACCGGTGAAGTCGACTGCACATTTACTGTGACTGTAAGGATGAAGTACAATCCTAGTGTTAAGACCTCCATGAGCCAAGTCATCAAAGCCTTGCCCAGTCCTCTGGAAGCCGCTATACTTGGAGGTAAAAACAATTTTGTGACATCTAGAAAGTGAGTAGAAGAACAAGAATTCGAGTTCTCTCGGTGGTTGATAACCTAACAGTTATTTCTAGAGAGCCAAAACTTTTATCCTCAAGTGAGGCTGATCTACTTAGTTTTAGGGTATTTAGTGCCACATCATAGCAGATCTCGGTGGAAAATTGATTACGAACCTGAGGGATCATCTCTCGATTGAGGGCATTAAATCTAAGCCAAACGAAGTAAATTAACAGTGCAAGACGAGGCAAGATCATGTAACTTCAAACGATTTCCAATCTATTTTGTGTTTTCCAAAATAGCACATTTTTGGATAAATTAATGATTTTCCTCTGCAAGTTTTGGTAATCACTTAAAAATTATCAAATCTAGCGGACAAATTATAAAATAAGTTGAAAATTTACATTTTCCTCTGCAATATTTAGCGTGTCCGTAAGAAACTATGTGTTAATGGACAATCATGAAAAGATGCAGAGGTAATCCGTCTAATCTGCTGACAGTCAGTCACTGAATGTTGCAGAAATTCTGCAACCTCTCATGCACTGTGCGTTGCAGAAATTCTGCAACCACTAGTCCACTGGATGTTGCAGAAATTCTGCTACCACTCACACACAGGATGTTGCAGAAATTCTGCGACCACTTATACACTGGGTGTTGCAGAAATTCTGCGACCACTCATACTCTAAGTGTCGCAGAAATTCTGCACCAACTCATACACTGGGTGTCGCAGAAATTCTGTGACAACTCATACGCTGGGTGTTGCAGAAATTCTGCAACCACTCATTCACTGGGTGTCGCAGAAATTCTGCAACCACTCATTCACCAGGTGTTGCAGAAATTCTGCGACCACTCATACACTGGGTGTTACAGAAATTCTGCAACAACTCATTCACTGAGTGTCGCAGAAATTCTGCAACCACTCATTCACAAGGTATTGCAGAATGTCACTGAATGTCACAGAAACACTGTGACCAGAGAAACCTCGCGACAATCTTTAGTTTTTTCCAATTTTCTCCTATGAATTGAAAAGTAATGGAGAATCAATTTATCAAAGATTTTTTTTTTCATCTTAAGAACCGTCTAAGCGTTTTTTCAACTCTATCGCTTTTCAATTCCTAGGTGATCGATTAATTGGTCGTAACAGTGGTTCGATTAAACTGGACGCCAAAACATTGACCATCGATCCTGATAGAACGAAGCATGAGTTATCTTGCAGCTGGAGTTGTGCAGTACAAAGCGGCGGCTTATGTAACTCCACCGTGAATAATGAATTGATATTTTCTGCTGTATATGGATGTATAATTGCGGTGCAGAGTAACCATTTCTTCGCTGGGAAGACATATATAATCAGGTTTGTCCCAGAATAAATACCAGTTGCTTACATCTCAAAATTAATAGAATGGAAGTAATAGTCGAAAAATAGCAGATCTGAATGACAAAATTATCGCGCAAGCTTTTGCATGCTTTTAGAGTTTCTTTTATTAGCCTTTACTTAACGTTAGCCCATATCTTTCTATACCGAGTTTTTGCGAATTGACACAGATTTATGAGTATTTTTTCAATTATCAAAAGAAATTCATCAAGTATTCTTATTCAGGAATAAGTTCAGTGCTTATTTCTGATACATGATGACGACGGGTAGGGCGCTGGATCAGTAACAGCAGTGTTTGAATGTCTTTTGTGGCTTATTCAGCGAACAATTGTAAAGTTAAAAAAAGCTCTCCAAATTTATTCACTGAACGTTTAAGAACGGTGTTAAGTATTTCAACCTTTCTAGAAAATTTAGGAAAGAGTTAGTTTGGGAAATACTGGATGTGATCCTCCATAGGCTTTCCACGTAAAAAAGAGGTCCCGGCAGTCATGTGACGATCCTTTATCTGAAGCATTGCGTTCTTTCTAATGTCTTCAAGCAGCTTTTCTTCTTTTGACGACTATAATGATATGATCATTTTTCGCTCGTTTTTTTTTAATAATTTATGTTCAGTGTGAATGTGACAAAAGGTTTCCGTTCCGCTGCGGCCTCCATAAAACTGACTGTGGTGGAAGGTAACCCACCAGCTGTTTGGGTGAATGCAGCGCACATAAGGATGAACTCAAATGATAGACTGAAACTGCAGGGATACTACAAAACAAACACAGAGCCTGCTAAGGTGGAATGGAGCAGTTCACAAGAACAAGGTGTGTCGAATGGAGATGATTAACATAACTCAACCTGGTATCGGTATTTTTGAACAGCTTGGGTATTTTATTATTAGGAAATACCTTACTTGGTAAAGAATTACCATCGGACTCCTTGGTCAAACAAAAAACTTTGAAATTCTTGCTTTTTCCCCACAAGAAAATCACAAATGACCAAGTAAGAGTTCGTGGCGGACCTCCCTGATTCAGCCATCCAAACAATTCGTAAATACAAATACAGTTCTTGCCTTACCAAAATAATCATGTCGCTTCGTATGCTTGTTATTTCCTGGAGGTGGAGGTCAGTAAAGTCACAAGCGACTGTTTTTCTCTTTTCTCCAGGATTTTCTTTCGTAGAGCTGAGTGGTTATAATCCGGCCACGTCGTTTAACCCTGGAAACGACTCATTTGTTCTCTTGACGTTGCCTGTAAATCTTCTCAAGCCCGACTCTAAATATCGATTCAAGCTAACAGTCAATGACGGAAGTGAAGAGGGCGTAGCGTCTTTAACCGTAGAAGTAAGAAAAGGACCCACTGCCCGTCCGTCTGCCGGATTATCTGTGTCGCCAAGCTCCGTCCAAGCACTGGATGTTGTTACTTTGTCAGGTGAGTCAACAGAATCGTACTAACGCCACGAGAATGCCTCTCAATGAATTATGCGAATTTATAACAGAATACGATCTAATAGTTGTGTCCATACGATTAAACTATACAAATTCCATTATCGGTATCTTCCGTTTCATTTTATTTCGCCTCTATCTTACGCAGCTCCTGGATGGGAAACCGACTTGGATGCTTTTCCTCTACGATACTCGTTTGGCTTGCTGGTCGAAAAAGATGTTTGTGAGACCTTTGGGATTCCCTCTAGCGATTCTGAACGAGAGCAGATGGTGCCTCAGGGATCCGGTCCAGATTACATTCTTCCCCTGTGTGTGGTGGTCTTGGATAAGTTTGACTCGTTTAAAATAGCAACGTTTAACATCACCTCAAGTCCACCGAGCAGCGATGTTTTGACCCCGAATGCTCTGGAAAGGTTGCTTCAAAATGCTGTTGATGATCCATTGCAGAGTGGTGATGTGGATGCAGCCCTTGGCGCTATTATGAGTATCGTGGGCACTGTGCAGCAGTCTAATAACACCGAAGGTAAATCATATTGGAGGAGTGCTGTGAAATTTACATGTAAAATAAAGATATGATCCATGCAGGAGAGCTGCAATCAAAGAAACTGACTGGAAATAGTTAGATTTCTTCAACCTGTAACTTCACCTTTCAGTTGTTAAAAGTACCCGACTAGTATGTGAGAGAAAAGGACTCGAAAACTGTTGAAGCCATAGTTTTGCAGGCTTCATTCATTGCAAATCACCTGCGTGGATCCCTACTTTACTTCTAAATTAAATGGTGGAAAAAATACTTGTCAAGAGACTTTAATTATATGTAATCAGACATACAGTAATACCAAACAATGATAAAAACAGATGCGAAGGACAAAAAAAGATACTTAGACGCCACAAAACAACGAAGCCACGTCAATAAAAAATAATTCATTGACTCTAAACTTACGTGTTTAGATGAGCTCATGCGAACACATGAAATGTCTTCCATTGCATTCTTCAGCATGGAATGATTCATCATGCCCATGTGATCACTTGTTAATTGACATTGTTGCCTTTAAAACTCCAAATTTCAGATGAGGTTAGGAACAACATTTCTCGAAGAACAGAAGAAATTGTCTTCGATATCCTTGAGTCCACTGTGATCGACCAGGATATAGCTTTTCCCCTTTTGAGTGTTCTCGTCAAAACGAATGTAACAGCATCGGATAACAGGTAGACTAAAAGACATGATATTTTGAAACCAAGGATATATCAGATGTATTATTTTATTCATTTTTCTTGAAGGAGTATTTCCAACCTACTAAAATCTTGATGATTGGAGTTAGAATACAATCTGGCTTTCAGAAGAGCATTCATGCATTTTTCAAATTGAATTTGGTGTTAAACCAAATCCAAGATTCAATTCCAGAATTTTGGAAAATTTGGGAGATAAGGAAACGGTGAATTGGTAAATTCTTACCAATTTGTATCTTTGCAAGTTTTCTCCTCAAGCTGTCTTCTTAAATTAGGTCATCACAGCCACTGCTTTAATTCACCTATGAATTAATATTGTTCATTTTGCTTTGAATAAATATATCTACAAGACACAGTAACTAGCTCGTTTAAAATATGGACATTTCTCTTCCTCATGCGTTTCTCCAGTTGTGCAAATGGTTATACGAGGGTGGAGATAACCAAAGCGTAAAAAGTGAAACGGCGAAATATTAATGTGAAATGTTTGACAGCTCTAGAACGGCCAACGCTGCAGTGATTATTCTGCAAGGGCTAGACGATAAACCACTTCCTGATGATTTAGCTGGGAATTTTTACTCATGGATTGCTGACCTTGCAGACGATTCTATTGACAACAACGACGGCTTAAAAGAGGTAAGAGGTGATATACATGTAATAAATAACGTATTGGCCTAATAATTTTGAATTTACAGCATATTGTGCTCTAGCACGTGGATGGGATTTTATTTTCGAGTGTTGCCTTTTTCCGTCATGAATGAGAGAAAAGAACGAGTGACAGAGACTATGAACAAGCGAAGAAAAATTGATAGAAACTGGCAAACGTGAAATCGTTTGCTCACCATAAAGCAAACATTCGAATCATTGAGTAAAGACAATCGCAAAAAATATCTCGAAAGCACTAAATGCAGTGGTCACTTACTCGTACACTCGAGTCGTTAGAATACTAGTTCAACTCCTGACTCCTTTGCAGTATTTTTTTTCCTGTTGGTTACGGTATGAAGCCAACAATAAAATGTAAAAACGCTAAAACGCTAGAATGTTATCATAAGCTCATAGTTTTTCATTCAGAAACAATAGTGTCCTTGAGGCAAAACCAAACTTGTTTTAGTTTGATCTCTTTGACTTTAAATAAACCTCTATTCTGATCAAAACAGAGCAAGAAAGAAAAGAGCTTATTTAATTTGTGTGCAAAACCACTTAAAAATATTTTTTTGAAACTATGAATTCTGGCAGACAGTGGGAGATGCTTTGGAGAAATTTGCAGATAATATTGGGACGGACTTACAGTGCGGGGATCCTCCTAGGGAAGTTTCCGATGATAGACTGGGATCAGTCAAGGTACAGGTGGCAGGATTAAAAGGAGAAATCGTATCAAGCAGTAAGCCTGGTGCCCCAAGATTTGACCCGGGCCCACAACTCACTAAAGAGTACAGTGGCCTGAGGAAGTGCGGAGAGGGAAAAATCTGTTGTGGTGTGTTTCTGAAGATGGTTCGGTACAAAAAAGATCTAATTGTAGCAGACAAAAGTAAACAAAGGGATGACAGTCAAGTTGTCAGCTCTCAGGTAAGTATCAACAGCAGTAAGGCTAAGTAGTGAGCCATTTATTTTGGAGCCTATTCCAGTTTCGTCTCTTAGGAGAGGGGAGATTAGTGAAAGAAGATAGCAAGAGACATTCTCATAAACCAAATTTGTCAGTTGTCAAGTACATCTCTAAAAGCCTCCGGAATTCGCAAGGTCGTCAAGAAGGAATCTGAGGTAGATTTTAACTAGGTCAAAACCCACATCATACAGATAATAAATATGACAATGTTTAAGTTGAGATTGAAGCATTTTATCCTTCATTTTTAACAAAAATGTTTGTTATTTTTTGTGATTTCTAGATTATTGGTGTGGATCTACGTGATCCTATCACAAAGACACCGATTGTGATTCAAAGCCTTACACATCCTCTGAAGCTGGTCTTTATCATATTATCAGTACCGAAAGACAAAAAGCTTGGGTGTGTCTATTTCGATGAGGATAAAAAGGTCTGGGTAAAAACCGGTTTGAAGGCAATAGGACTTGTTTCAAGCGAGTTTACATGTGAATCCACGCACGCCACCTACTTTGCTCCGTCACACGATTCAGTCGTGACTAAAGGTAAGTTTGGCGAGGGCAAGGTCAAGTGTTAAGCCTACTAGCTACGCGAATGACGAAAGACTCGACAGGTCTTAACCCTATGAGTCACTAGTATCTGTTTGCTCCTGACAATATCACCCCTGAATCAAACAATATCATCACAAATGAAGAAGCTCTTCATTATTGAACAAATTCTCCATGTCAGCACCTTATGAAATGGGTAGAGAGCGGTATGGAGAATTTGCAGACTGATGTTAGGATGTAAATGGTTAATAAGCGCAAAGGGTTCTATTGCATGTCCTCGCAACGTTTTCCAAAAGAATAAAAGGGCGTTAAAGACGGATAAGATTAACGCTCGGTACAAACGCGACAAACTTAAAAAACAAGGTAACACCCGAGATGCAAAAACCCTAATGTTTCTTCTCCAGGTTCCGCGACCATTTCACATACAACTAAGAAGTGTCACTGTATCTTTTGCAGAGCAATCCTCGACTGACCTTACTCGCGGAATCGTTGGTTTGGTAATGGGTTTCTTGATGGGAATTGTGGCTGTACTTCTTGTACTTTTATTCATCTGGTGGAAGAGAAAACAAAAAGTAACCACAGAGCTTCCACAACTCGACCACAGACTTTGATATTCTGGCGAAATCAATTTAACAAATTAACACTGTCATCAAAATGTTGAGGACTCACTTGATAACACCTCGTGAGTCCAAAACAAATTTTGACCACGGTGATGATGAATATCGTTGCCGATGAGGGTACAGACCACGCTACATTACTTTCGATTTTTTTTTAATCACAATATCGACGTCAAACTTTCCGAGTCATCCATGTTTCAGAGCTGATAATGGCATTGCGTGAGATGTTGACGCGAGCAGCGTTGTCTGTACCTTATCGGAAACGGCAAATTGGCCAATAAGATTGCGACATTACTACCAATTGTGGTAAAATCATTAATTGCTACCTCCACTTCATAATTTTTCACTCATTTATTGTGCTAAAGAGCCTTGTCTCGAGATATAAGACACCTCGGGTGACTTTTTGCTCTAACACACACTCCAGCATAGCTATTTTTAATCGCCATTTTTGTCAGCGGATAAACGTTTTAAAATGTGAGGATTAGAAGGTCTACAGGGTAAGGTGTTGACTCAAAGTGATCACTGTTTAATTCTTGTTAACTGTGGAGTCGTTTGGGTGATGTAAGCCAGAAGTAATAGATAGTTTACGAGTTCAAACGGGTGAGATAATCAGGTTCTAACGTTAATCAGTCTTGTTCTGGCTAAATTAGTAAATCTTTTCATGGAGTTCAAGTTTTTCCTTTAAGTTAAATATAACCATGGGCCGGTTAGGTTTTTGATAAACAAATGGGAGCTCGCTTAGCATGTTTAAATAGTGCAGATGATAAATCATTGTTTGAAATAATTGGTTCGTTGATTAGCAAATTATTACCATTCTATTTCTGCACACAATTCCTAAATTATGTACCATTAGTAAACACTATAAAACTTCACTCCCTGCAACAAGTGGGACTTTTTCGTGCACGTTTGAAATTTGAACATAACATTTGCTTTACCTAGTAAGACATGGACGCCTTTGTATTTAGATGAGGAAAATTTGGTAGAGAAAGAGTAACGAAAACAAAAACATGTCACGGTTTCAAAAATGGATGGTCTCTCCTCTAACCGTCTACGCCTCTAACCCTTTACGCTTCTAACCCTCTACGCGTCTAACACTCTACGCCTCTAACCCTCTACGCCTCTAGCCCTCTACG